CCCTCCGTACTTTGTTTTTGAAGAAGAAAGCAGAGTGGGAAGAGTGTATCCCAAACACGACGTTTTGTGACTCCTTGAGAACAAGTTTTTTCTCCTTAGCCAAGTGGGGACACCATTTGTAATCCCCAACAGCCATGCCTTCCACCATCTTAAGGTTACTTAAATCATAGAATCACAGAATGGTTTGGGTTGGAAGGGACCTTAGAGACCATCCAGTTCCAACCCCCCTGCCATGGGCAGGGACACCCTCCACTAGACCAGGTTGCTCAAAGCCTCATCCAGCCTGGCCTTGAACACTTCCAGGGATTCATCAGGACACTTCAGCTTTCACCATGAAATCAGCCACTTGCCTGTTGAAGTACCTGCCATCCATGTGTCAAAACCTGACAGTTCATTTGGGGACAGCAAAGAAATTATATACTCAAACCACTTAGCCTTGCCAGAGCAACCACCTTTATGCTAACCTGCCCAACCTCAGAAGGTGGGTGGAAAGCCACGATGCAGAGACAGTGCTTTTATTTTTCAAATAGTAACAGGGAGATAAAACCACACTATGGTTTAAACCTTTTCTGTTAAGAGAAGGGATTTTTGTAATACTCAAAGAAAAATTAAAGGATCACAGGGAAGCAAAATGGAAGCCATGTGCAGAGAAAATCCCACAGAGTAGCTCTTCCACCTGAACCTCAGAGGGAAGAGTGAGAGGGCAGCTGCGGTGGCCATGCCCTGGAAGAGCACCAGGGAGGATGCGCTTAGGGGTGTGCTGGGACATCCTTCCTCTTCCACCTCCCATAAGGGTGCCCGGTCCCATCTGCTGCGCTTGGGCATGGGCTCCGGGCAGTCTGACAGCACAGCTGTGCACCCCACATTCCCGGAGTGAATGTGCTTAAAAGCTCAGTTTAGCCTATTTTAGTTTAGTTTTATTTCCTTCTGTTTTCAGCCCTTGCCAGAGCCAGGAAATGGAGAAGCCTATACAAGAGAAAAATCAGATGGTGCAAGATAAGAAGTTATCTTAACTTGAGGTTCTGACTAGGCTCCGATGTGAAAAATTGCTTTCAGCTGAACCATTTTGCTTCCTTTTTTTAAGTATGTATTTTTGTGCTTTTCCCCACCTCAAAGACACTATTTATTTGGTATCCCTTATTGCTTCTTGAAATAAATACTAACTTATTCAACAGCGACAGCTTCAAATACCACAACTTGCTGCAAAAACATACCGGAAAGTGTCCCCAGAGGCCCTTAATTTATACAAAAAAACAGTTCTGGCCTTCAGCTCTGCATCAGAGGCTCTTCCCTGTTATCGTTAGACCGTTCAAGGCCATTGTTCCACTGTTTTATTTATGATTATGGAAAACTTGAAGGGTATTCAGGGGTAAAGAAATGAATACATATGGTAAGAAAGGATGCGGCTGTTAAAACACAGCAATAGGAATCAGGTAACACTATCAAGAATTATTATGTGACCTGGAAGAGGGGAGTGTCTCCAATTCCATTGTCTCCATCTGCAAAATGCGATTATTTTCCTCTATCTGAGGTTTCACTAGGCTCACTGGTAAAAGCACTTGGTTATCATTACAGTCATGTTCTGAGTGTTCTTTTTTTCTAATAAGGAAAGGTTTTGGCACAAACCTCTGGCAGTTATTCTCTTTGGTGAGGGAGATTTTAAATGGTATAGAGGAATTAGCTAGTAAAGGGTTTTACTGTTTTAAAGGGCCGTCAGCACAGCAAATCCCTTATGGCTATTTACTGTCTGTCAAGAGCGAAGGTTGGGTTTGGCTCGATTTCTTATGCTACCTCCAAACAAAAATCACGAAAGCAGATGGAAACAACACAAGATAATTGTATAACCCTCCTTACTAAGGGAGAGGGAAGCCGCTGTGAAGTTGCACAAAGCATACACGTCCATGAGAGCTGGTGCAGCACGGGCAGCCAGACATACG